CTGGTGATGGGTATTAAAGAGGGCACATTCTGCGTGGAGCACTGGGTGTTATGCACAAACAATGAATCATGGAACACTACATCACAAACTAATGACGTAATGTATGGTGATTAACATAACAATAAAAAATTTAAAGTAAAAAAAAAATGATCTTAGGGAAGATGGCCTTATTGAAAGAGATCCCCAACAAGCTCTTTAGGAATGGGATCATTTCCTTATCTACTTTAATGGGAAATAAAGCGAAACAGCAATGGGAAGTCGGAAGGAGTGCTATCTTGTACTGACAAGTAGGGAAACAGGCCTCATTCCCAGACCCCAATCGCAGTAGAGGTGGACAAGTAAAATTAAACAGTGATGATCTTTAATTCATATAATCACTGTGGATCCTATACTAGCTTCTGGAGCTCCTCCTTTGTGCAAAGAGGTAACAGCTTTCCAAAGGGACAGAGATAGTCCCTGTTCATCTGTGTTACTTATATCATCAGACAAGTGAATGACCTGCCCCAGAAGGCAAGCAATTGCTCTTGGTCTTGACAGAAGAGTCATATACTTGGGGCTACTGACCTGGGTGATGAGTATATCTTATGCTAGCACTGTTTTGTGTTCGTATGACTTGCTCCAGCAAAAGCCTTGTGTTGGAATAAAATATACTAGGGAACACACACACACACACACACACAATCATCTGGTAGGAAATTATATCCATTCAAAACTGCAGGTGGATGAAGTTTTGGGCTAGGATGCCAAGCCCTGGATTTTTCCAGCTTAGTCAGTCTTGGTTCAATCTCTGCATCCCTCTCACCGAGCTCAGCTGTCAGTCCCTGATCTTGCTCTTCTCACTTGCACCACTCAAAGCTCGTTTTCTAAGAGCCTCATGCATTTCCTTACAGCAAAGCTTCTTTCATGTCCTATATATCATTCCCCTTTAAAGTTAGTGAACTTCCTTTAATATCAACTGTTCTCAACCTTATGCACTTACAGAATTAGTTAAGACAATGTTTCTCATTGGAACCATCTGGGGGGATGCTTTGAAAAGTCCTGATGCCCAGGCCATTCCCCAGACTAGTTAAGCCAGAATTTCTGGAGGGTGGGATGCAGGCATCAACAGCATTTGAAGGGGATTCCAGTATATAACCAAGGTTGAGAACCACGGTCTTAGATCATTCTGTAAATGTGTATTTCTCATATGCACTAACTTGTTTCCTCTTTTTTGGAACCACTGAAGACCTGGTGTATGACCTTAGATCCGGCCAGTCGTGGAGAGGCTGAGCTGTGCTTTCAGAACAGCAGTGAGCAGCACTGGCTGAGAGATTATGAAGGCAGGTGGGCAGATCTGGCTCTAGGCTGGCTGGAATTCTCCCAGGGACAGCAAGGGCAGCATCCTGGTGGAAATTACATCAGGACTCCCGACCCTGCCTCTGTTGTAACCAGGCACAAAAGAGAAGGGCAAAGTGACCTCTGAAGGTTATACAAATGCCTTTTCCCACGTTCCAGAGCACGCAGCAGGGCTGCTAAGGGCTCAATGTCTGGGACCAGGAAATGTCACTGAAGCTCCCAGTACCTGGTGGGTACTGGCACAGTCTTTCAAAATACAAATTTCTTACAGAGCTTGGGCAGACTGTCAGGATTCCTTCAAAGTCTACCAGAACTGCCAGAGAGCTCTGTGCTAAATTTGACAGAGAGGTGCCTCAGATCTGGTGAGAGCCAAGGTTACCCAGATGGAGCTGAAGCAGCTGAGGTTTTACAAATGCAGAACTGAGTCTAATAAGTAAAGAGCCCCGGGTGTCACCGGCCCAGAGGCGAGGAAGTGCATGGCCAGTCGCTTATGGGGAGGTTCTGAGCAACGTGAGTGAAGAGCTAAGGAAGGGTGACAGGGAGTTGTGGGCAGTTGGAGGGGGACTGGCTCTTACCTTGAAGTCTGGGATCTGGTAGCCTTTCCGCAGCGTGATCTGGAATACATCCATGGAGCTGATGAACGCCGCGAGCCTTGTCAGACTCTGCTTGCCGCTCCCACCCACGCCGACCAACAGCGCATTTCCCCGGGGGGACTCCAAGATGCGGTTGATGTGGCAGCTGAGGGGAAGGAGCAGAGGCACGTGGCCTGGATCAGACTTTCCTCTGTGAGGAGCCTGCACCACGGTCCAAGTGAGCACTGGAACCCCCTTCGGAGGCCCATCATGGGCTGAGCTGCAGGAAACGTGAGTTACATTGTCCCCAAACCTGGCCTCACCTTCTTGCCCAAATGGATGGAAGTCATTCCTGCTTTTTGCTTTAAGCCAAAGCCTCTGGTGAACTCTGGTGGAGGAAGAGCTCATGGCAGCCAGAAAGGACTGGAGGGGACCCAGGCTTACCCTCCCTCCCCTCCCCAGCTGAGCCTTACTCTGCCACACCTCCCACAGTGCTCGGCCTCACCTACTTGTGCTTTCAGGCAAGAGGAGGGGCCAGGAAAAAGAGAAGAGTAGGAAAAAAAAATCCAGGGGAGGCTAAAGGACAAGCAGGAACAGAACTGTTTGTTCCACTAAAGAGAGAAGTAAAATTAAAGTCAGCAGAGTAACAGGGAGCCTTGTTGATGCCCTTGTAAGGAATGTGGATTCTTGGTGTCAACCTACAAGACACCCACTTGTTTGGCTTCTGGATTCTTCCGCTTTTAGCTCTACTAACCTCTCTCAGTATCCATATTCCCACCCAGCAATGATGAAAGATCCCCAGGCCCTGGGCTTAGACTACATCCTGCAGAGGACCCACCTCCCCCTGACTCACCAGGCCTTTCTCAAATGCCGCTCTTCCATCCACCTGTCCATAGACCCTCCTCCACGTTCTTCTTTCTCCTTAGCGCTATGTATAGACCTTACATAAGGTACCTACATTCTTCATTTAAAAAACTCCTATTCCCTTTCTTTCTTCATCTTAAAAACAGTAACTATTCATTGCACAAAATGCATAAAATACAGGAAAACTACAATTCTATACTAGATAGCAATAAATACCACTGACATTAATTATACGCCCTTCTGGACTTTTTCCTAGAGTCTGTGTGTTTATAAGTATATATTTATGGGTATATACACTTATTACATCTGAAAGCTCAATATATATCTACCCTATTGTCAAATTGGGTTCCGTTGTATACTAAACAGAGCTTTGAAACCACTTTTCCATTTAGCCATATTCTTGTGAATATTTTCCTACACCACTGAGTAATTGCTAAGCCATGCTTTTAATGGTGGAACAACAGAATAAATACCTTATCTGCAATAGCCCACTACTGGATATTTAGGTTGTTTCCAACATTTTCCGGTCATAAATAATGCTATGGAAATATTTTTTGTTTCTATCTTTCATCATGTCCACAGGATAGATTCCTAAAAGAAAATCACTGAGTCAAACAGTAAGACAATTTTTTTGGCTTTTGATACATACTGAAAAGCTGCCTCCCAGCATGGTGGCACCAATTTGTTGTCTTCTTGGGTAGAATTGATCAAAAGGTGGATCCATTATTTTGAAGGGTGAGAATATGTTAGATTATGTGAGTTTCATTAGAATGTGTTATGTCAGAAAACTTGGGAAATGGATAAAAGGAAGACAAGACGACAGGTGTTGGTGAACTTGGACCTGGATGTGTGCACAGAGCAAGAACTCAGGGGGAGTCTGACCGAACAGAGCAGAGCATACATCTGAGATTGAACAGCGTAGGCTACAATCCTGTGTCTCTATCTTGTGTTAATGATATTACAATGACAAATATCATATTCACATTAAGTAAGGGTCATCAGGGTGGGGCAACTTAGGTCCAGCTAATCCCAATTTGGAGGGAGTGTGGGGGTTGCCAGGAGAGTTTTGATGAGTGGGACTTACATATCAACAAAGCATGAGCATGTATGAGGTTACAGGGCTCCTGCTGACCTTCTGTGGCTTGAGCTTTTTACTACTGCACATTTCTGGCATATACTGATGACTGGGTCATAATCAGCATCAATAAACTAGATGTTTGTAGGTCCTCATTGCCTCCTCTCTCCTGTGGGATGTGTTTGCTATTGAGAAGGAAGCCCCAGCAGGAGGGCAGGTAAGCCAACAGTGCCCACCTACCAGCAGGTGGGAAGAGTCTGGCCCCCACTCTTGTTGACACTGGGTCTTATATGTATATTTTTAAATCTTTGCCAATTGAATGGTTGATACAATGATTTAAATTTTTATTCCTTTGATATCTATGGAATTAAACATTTTTCTTATTAATCATTATATATTTTTTGTTTTGTGAATTTCCTTTTCATGTCCATGGCCCACTTCTTTTTTTAAAGTTTTATTTATTTAAGTAATCGCTATACTCAACGTGGGGCTTGAAATCATGACCCCGAGATCAAGAGTTGCATGCTCCTCTGACTGAGCCAGCCAGGTGCTCTGAGTGCCCACTTCTTAATTGAAGAGTTCTAGATTTGTAAGACCCCTTTAGGTATGTTCTGAAACATCCCTCCAATTTGTCACTTTTACCTTTTCATTTTAATGTGCTTTTGTATGTGCAGAAAATTTTAGCTTTCTGGATTTAAAATTGTTAAGTCACTAACTTTTTGTAGTGAAAATTAATTCCCCCAAGTATTTAGGATTTATTTATTGACCTACACTTAGTTCTTTTGCGATTTTGCTTTTCCCCTTTATAATTATTTAATTGGGATATTTCTGCTCTGTCTTGTATCAGATAGATTTACAATTCTCTGGCCCCCTTATTAAATCCTAGTTTTGAGGCACCGGAAGAGCGTGTGTACTCATCTTCTATCCTCTACAGTCCTCGCACATTGAGGGCATTCGGTAAATTCTGGTTAAACTGAAACAGAACACATACCTTACGTCAGTGTCACATCTGGAGGGATGTACACAATCATACATTATGTGAGGGGCAAGGACTCATCTGCTTCGTGTCTGTATTAGAGGGTGCCTGACTCCAAGGATAAAAGAGACACTGAGGTGCTAAGATATCCAGGCCCTCTCTTTGGAGGAGAAGTCCACCTGGGTTCTCTGTGCCGCCCCACACTCCCTCTATTCTGGAAGGCCTGAACTCAGCTTAGCATAGTCTCTGCTATTCAATATCTAAATGGGAAATGCATCATTAGTTCTGAAGTTTCCAGAGAAAAATGGTTCAGACTGCAACTGTCAGCATTAGACTCCAGCTGGGGATTCATTAACAACCTCTGATGAGGGCAAAGGACTCTGCATTCAAATTACAACATTTAAAAAAGAAGATCAATATTCTGAAGGGCTCCTGGGCAAGAAAACCAGTGAGGTCTAAGTTAAGCTCATTACTGAATTTCTGCGAGATTAAAAACAAAAACTGAAGATGTACCACAGCACAGCTGGAGGAAGTGGGCTTACTGAAGGCTACACACACACACGGCATGCACACACACGTGTGCACACGCATGCGCACGCGTGCACGCCGCAGACGTCCTAGAATGGACAAGATACACAAAGGAAGGGGCCCAAGAGAAGTACATCTTTTTCGTAAAGTGATGCAAAGAGAAAGAAAAAGAGGCAGAACAATCTCTGTGGGAGCCAATAAACCCAGAAAAAAATAAAGATAATGCCAAAAGCAGTGGAAAAGACTTGGTGTGAAGCTTTAAGGAAATGCAGACCGAGAATCTGCTGAAACGGTGAAGACAGTCAGCGGGAGAGCACAGTGGTACCATTAAGGACACAACAGCACAAAGCAAAAGCCTAGCATCTTTGGACTGCTTGTTAAGCACAAAGCGCTGGACACACCAGTAGCAATAACCCTACGACATAGACATTCTCACTACCCTCATTCCCAGAGGAGGAAAGTGAAGCTCAGGGAAGTTCAGTGTCCTTTGCTGAACACCGCAGCTAATTAGTGGCAGAACCAGGATTTGAATGTGGATCTGGCTCTGTCTCTAGAATCTGTGCCCATAACTCGCTACGTGGCTCTCCGTGGTCAGGTTCAACATAAAAGGGCAGTAAGAATTAGCAGCAGAGCTTGGGAAAGGTGTCAGGGAATTGGACCAGAGAGACTGGTAAGAGCTCAAGTAGTAAGAACAAAGAGCCAGATTATAACATCAAAATGAGCATATGTCTCATCGCACCTCTGAACAGACGCCCTTACCCTCGCCCCTCGACCAGCCCTGCGTGTTCCTGGGGAGTGCTAGAGCCTCCACCCTGCTCAGCCTCACCCTGCTCCCACTTTGGGTATCAGAAGTCGGGACCTTCCCGGAGAGAGCCCAAACCCCTCTGCCTCGGGCACTGCGCTCCAGGCCACGAATCTTCTGTCTCTCTTAGGTTATGTTTCTCACTGTTGGTTGTCATTCCACTCTCTGGCACAAGGTGGGGTGCTTCTGCTCTCTGTGGCTGGTAGAGCCGGCAGAGGGCCGAGGAGCCCCGGGGGAGGGGAGGGCAGTACAAAGACCATGTCATGGGACATCGTTGTTTTTAAACAAATGTACATGAAATTATATGTCCAAATATACTTTAATCTTGAGAACTGCCTTCCTTGAGATAGTTCATTATTCCAGTTATTTTGCCATTGCTAATGCAGCTCAGGCTTCTCTCTGGAAACCATCTTCAGAGCCTCTTAAGGAACCTCAAGAGAAAAGCCAGTTTTCATAGCCTTATTTTTTTCTAAAAACCAGTATTAGTCAATTTGATCACCCATGTTGGAAACTGCACTGAGTGAATCACTTGCTCTTCTCCCAAATTAAATTTACCTTGAAAGGACAGAGATTTGCCTCAATTCCAAGACTATGACACAGGCTCTGATAGCTATTAAAGAGGGGAAAATGCTCACCGAACTTTCCCGAGGTTCGGGAATGGATGTCCCAAAACCTGGTCCTGGCCACTGACTATGCACCAGACACTGTCCAAGGTTTTGGGGATTCAGCAGTGGGCAAGACTGAGTCTGCGCACAAGGAGCTTGCACTGGATCAGGAGAGACAGAAATGTAGATGAGGAAGCACCACAGTGTGATGGCTGAGAGCAAACGCACTGGAGCCACAGTGCGTTAGTGTAAGCTTTGGCTTCTCGGTTTCTGGGGTGCGGGGCACTAGGCAGCTTTTCCCATCTCTCTGGGTTGTAGCCTCCTCACGCTTAATATACAGGGATAAGAGCAGACCTTACTCTCTTCAGGGTTTTTGTGAAGACTAAATGAAGTGATGTACGCAAAGCTCTACGCACCAGGTCCGTGGTGAGTTCTGTGTCCAGGGTAGCTCCTACGTATCATGTCAAATGCTGCCTTTCCAGAGAGGTCTTCCTGACCACCCTATTTAAAATTGCAATCAACACCCTCCCTACCCTCCACTAGCACTCTGTATCCCCTTTCCTTCTCTGTTTTTCCTCTACGTCATTTACCCTAAATGAGATGCTAAGAATTTTTGTTGAGTACCTGCCATATTCCAGACACTGTCCTAGGTCTTAGAGATCTAGCAGTGAATAAAAAAAAGATCCTTGCACTCATAGTATGCCTAATCCATGGATATGTGTTAGATGGATGGATGGGTGGAAAGATGGATGGGTGGATGGGTGGATGGATAGATAGATGGGTGGATGGGTGGGTGGATGGATGGATGGATGGGGGATGGGTGGATGGATATGTGGATGGGTGGGTGGGTGGATGGATGGATGGATGGATGGATGGCTGGCCGGGTTGGTGGGTGGGTGGATGGATGGATGGATGGATGGGGGGATGGGTGGATGGATATGTGGATGGGTGGGTGGGTGGGTGGATGGATGGATAGACGGATGCGTGGGTGGATAGATAGATGGATGGATGTAAACAGATAGATTAATCATGACAAATGCAGCACGGCAGTCAAGTTATATAAGGTGAGGACCCAGCAGCGATAAATGACTTCAGCAAGAGGGGGCTCTGTGGTGACTGGATAAGAGCTTCTTTGTTCAATTGGTAAGAAATGGATCCAGAAGAGAATGAGAAGTGAGAAAGTATGATAAGTATAGACAACCATTTTGATGAGTTTTGTTGTGAACAGGAGCAAAAAAAAAAAAAAAAAATGGTGGAGATGGAAGGAGATGTAAGAGTGAAGGAATAGTTCATTATTTTTTATAATGATAATGTGGCATGTTTGTATGTAGATGCACATGACCCAGAAATTACTGAATTAATGATGATGGCACAAGAGGGGAAAAGCAAGGAGGAGGAGGGAGGGAGAAGGAATAGTTTAATTTTAGGAAGGAGTCAAGTCACTAAGAAGGTGCTGAGAGATGGGATCCAGGATGCACATGGAAGGATTGGCCTTCGATAGGAACAGGGATGGTTTGTTTACTGAAACAGTAGAGAAGGCACAATTTGTGGGCGGGATGCAGGTGGGCTATTAGATTTGATGGCGGGGAAATGAGAGAATTCTCTTCTGGCTGCTTTCGTTATCTCAGTGAAGGAAGAGATGTGCTCATTAACTGGGAACAGAGAGAGGGGAGGGATGCTAGGCTCTTGAGAAGAGAAGGAAAATGTGGGATGCAATCCTCACAGGCAGGGCAAGAGAGCAAACTGCCCAGGGTAGGGGAGGTGTGTTTCCAGCAAGGTCAAGGGCCCATGTGATATGTGTGGCTGAAAATCTGAAACACACCAAGCCTAAATGGTGGTGGGTTTTCCACAACAATCTTCAGATGCTCGGGAGCAGGGGTGGAGTAAGACAGTGGGGTTTACCTAGAATGGGGTTTTGTCACATGGACATAATGCCAGGAAACTTAGGGAGCTTGCACCAGGATAATGGAGCTTATGGTGGTTGAGGACAGTAAAGACATGGTAGGCAGAGGGGCGAAGGAGTCTGAGAAAGTGGTTGGCTCCATGAAATGAAGTCTTGATGAAGCTGAAGAATAACTATTTTTATTTGGGGCAACGTGGAAGGATCTCGAAGTGAGAGAAGTCAGACAGAGAAAGACAAATACCATAGGATCCTACTTATATGTGAAATCCAAAACAAAAAACAAAAAAACAAAACAAAACAAAAACCCACACAACAAAACAGACATATAGAAACAGAGATCAGATCTGTGGTTGCCAGAGGTGGGGGCATGGGGGTGAGGAATTAGGGGAAGGTGACCAAAAGGTACAAAATCCCAGGTATAAGATAAATGAGTTCCGGGGAGGTAAAGTATAACACGATGACTAGAATTAACAATGCCATATCGTATACATGCAAGTTGCCAAGAGAACAGATCTAAAGAGTCCTCATCAAAAGGAAACAAAATTGTAACTTGTGAATGACTGTTAGTCTTACTGTGGTAATCGTTTTGTATTCTACACATATGTCAGACCACGATGTTGTACACCTTAAACTAATGCAATGTTAGATGCCAGTTATATCTCAGTAAGACTGGGTCAAGAAGGAATTCCCTGGAATAAAAACCAGAGCAGGTGAGGGGAAGGGTAGGAGGTACAGTTCAGAGGGTAGGCTGTTTGAAATGGAGATTGTGGAGACGGATTCATCGCTGATGACAGAAGTTCTGGGGTAGGAACATGGGAGCGAGTGGCTAAGGGGGGACTGGAGCTAACGAGGCCAACAGGAAGAAAGACTAGGTGATACACAGATGCTAGCCAGAAAGAACGATGTGGTCGAGGAGGGAAGTTGGCCCAAGCACCCAAGTCGTTGGTAAATGTTGGGGAGGGACTGGATGTCAGCAGATGGCAGTAAGAAGGCGAGGTAATAAGTATGAAAGTCTAGTTACTTGTGCTTTTGAGGAACTGGGAGGTTCCTCTCCCTTTGGAGAAATGGTTTAAATGGGCCACTGAAATGAGGTGGGAGAGAAGGAGGGTCCTTAGCTCTCTCTTGGGCCTGGGGTACATAGAATGGGGGAGGAAAAAAGAGCTTTCCTCAACTCAGGGGTCAGTGAGGTTTCACTTAGAATCATCAGTGAGGGGAAGTTCCGAGAAGCTGAAGATCAAGTGGGTTTTGCTGCTGAGGTCCACGGGTACCAGGGGACAGGGTGGAAAGATTTTGGAAGGTGGGGTGTGACTCAGTTGGGGAATGTAAAGAGCCATCAGAGGGACAGAATTTGGTGTAAGTGTACATCATCCAGGAGGCTTGGTGACTACCCTCACTGATTCCGTCGACAGCAACAACACTTACGAGGGTATTTAATTTTTGAAATACGTGAGCATTTAAAGAAAAATCCTCTATCTCATTATTTTAAAGTTGGCCCTCAGACTCGTATGGGGTGGGAACACGGGTCTTGAGCTGTTCTGGTGCCTCTTTTACGATCTCAAAATTTCCCTTGGTGTCACCGTGGTCCTGCCTAGGGATCATAAATGACAGACAAGGAAATAAATCCACTTCTGCCCGAGTTCAGCATCCTGTTGCCTCCTAGGGCCGGTGGAAGATGCTGCGGCCACTGCTCTACCAGTGGCCATCTTGACCTCCCTGGCAGAAGCACAGCTGCTTTCCTGGTTTGATCAAGGTGTCCTCAAATGCCCAAAAGAGACGTCTGACATTGGGAAGAAGAGACAATTGAGGAAAGGCAGGAACAGCAGCACACTTACACATGGCGCATGGCGTCCTCAAAGAGAACCAGGTCCATCACTGTGTTGACTTCATTGTGGTTCTCCAGGGCTTCCACCAGAGTCTGGGTCAGAAGTTGCCATGATTGGACGGGCATGTACTTGGGCTCACCGATACCACTGGCAAAATGGCAATACATGTTCAGGCTTCGGGTCTGCTCCACAGTCTCATCAATATCCTGGTGGTGGAACATAGGCATAAGAACCCCCTTTACTGACTCAGTTCTGGTTCCACAGAGAGTAAAGACCCCTCATTTGCTTTTTCTCTCTGGACACTTCCTGCAAATTAAGTATCAGTGCTGCTTCCACCACTTCCTTTCTCCTGAGCAGCTCTTATAAAGTAGAAGTTTAACGTTCATTTACCAGCTCCATGAAGTCATGGGTGATGTTTATTATTCCCTGTGGGCTGAGGATGGGAAATGGAAGGTGGAAGGTACCCTTCCCATATGCACAGTAAGAGTCCATGTCTGGGCAGAGGAGTGGATGGGGACACACGGATAGATTTCCCTAAGCAGGGGCTCTTTCATCACTGCTGGGTAAAGGGGTCCGTGCCCCCAGTGCCCTCATCTCCCCCACATTTGTTCCAACAGCTCTTGCTTCCCAGTCCACAGCAGCATCATAAAACATCCTTTCCTCTTTCCTGTGAGATAGCACACTGGAGGCTTCCAGCCCCAGCTTCATTGGCTCAGCCCAGAGAACTTGGTTTCTAAAAAAATGCTTCATGAGCCATCCTTAGATGACTGGTTTGTTTATGAGAATCCTGATAATCTGAAAATGTTCACAGTAGAACCTCCTATGTATGAAATTTTCAGAAAGATATGAGCTGCTTGTGTGTTGATTCTTGCCCACAGGGTAGACCTTACCATGTTTAATAAAAACCTAGTACAACTCAATTAATTTAAAAGATAGCATGTCTGTGTCTCTTTACTACCAATGTTCCTCTAAGTATCAAAGAGGCAGCTAATCATTTTTAATTTAGAAAGGAACTACTTACTTATCAAAACCCAAATCTTAGAGACTTCAAAAGGAAGAAAGGTGGTAGGGGAAGTAAGTCCAAGAAAGAACATGCTTTCTAGTACCTAAGTAGGAATTTATATGAGTATGAGCAACTGTCCCCACCTGCCATTTTTTTCTTCCAAAGTTCTGACTGGGAGAAGCACCTGGGAAAGAGGAAACCTGCATGCTCTTTACCAGCAGGGATGTTACCCCGGGAATGAGTCACTACTGTAGGGTTAGCTTTGTAAGCCCAAGGGGTAAGGTCATCAAATCTAATGGAGGGGAAGTGAGGATGACAGTCTCATCTACAGAGAAACCAGGACTGCTGCCTGGTTTATAAGAATGAAATGGAAAGAGTTAAATATCAAAGAGTTATTATACTTTGAAGGTGATTTCAGGGCCATGGAAAGCCTTTAAACTATTCTGGCTTTGCCACACACGAACGGTAAATGTTTAATGCAGGGCAAGAGAGCCATTCTTGCTCGCTGCAGAAGGCATGTGGGGAAGTGATGTGGGAACCCATTTACCCAGTTTGAAAATGGCTAATATACTGGGAATTGGAAGTCAATTTACACTAATGATCTAGTAGAGGAATGAGTGAAGTACAGTTCTGAAAAGCCTGGTCTACAAAGACTCTTTGATGAACGAAACAACGTGTCTCCAATGTTATGATCAGAGTCAGGCTATTCAGGAGGGAGAGAGAAAATCAACCCGCCTCGTGATTCAAAGATTTCTTAATAGCGACACCACATCACACAAGGGCTACTTCTCAGAGAACTTTAAGATTTCACTGGTAGAAACAGGACTGTATAACTTCCTTGGTGGAAACGCAGCAACTTTTCTTTAATACCACTGTCAAGATTTGATGCAGCCAAAGGTACTTCCGGCTGGCATTTCAAATGTTGTTGGGGAAGGATGATGGCAGTATTAATTATATCTTGGTCTATGATTGAAAGAATGTGTTCTTAGGATACAGACCTACATGCGAACCTCTATTTCAAAGGCTGAGTGTTGGTACTCCAAAGTGTCAGCTCAAATCAATGGGAAAAGAGAGTCAAGGCTGGTTTGCAGAGCTAACAATGAATACATGACTTGGCAAATGCTACAGCTACAGTGCTCAGAGGGGCACCTAAGATGTGTGAGTACTGAATATTGGGACATAGAAAAATGATAAGTGGGGGAATTTCAGGGTGTTCATACTAGTAAAAACCCAACTGAGATAAGTTACTTAAAAATGCTGTTTAAGGGGTGGCTGGGTGGCACAGTCAGTTGGGCGTCTGGCTCTTGGTTTTGGCTCAGGTCATGATCTCGAGGTTGTGAGATCGAGCCCCCACATGGGGCTCTGTGCTCAGTGCGGAGTCTGCTTGGGATTCTCTCTCTCTCTCTCTCTCTCCCCCCCCTCTGCCCCTCCCGCTTGTGCTCTCTCTCTCTGAAATAAATAAATAAATTTTTAAGAAAAAATCCCGTCCTATCATGTAGGGTGGGATGGACTGTAAGTATCTTCAGAGGTAGATCCACGATGGTATCAGGAAAAAATCTGGTGCTAGACCTAAACAGGTGAGCTTAGGGACAACATGGTATATTTAAATACAAGTTTTGGTTATTTCTAAGTTCAAGAGAGGACAAGCAGTATGTGTGGAAAATATGTAGATCTGGTCAACTTTTAGAAGGCTCAGTGTTAGCCGTGGGGTAATTTTGACACTAGAAGTGTAGTATGAACTTAGGCTGTGTTAATGTGTGCTTCCCAAGGCATATTCTGTGGTGTATTTGTTCTGCAAATTATTAATAGGTTTTATGAAAGGAAAAGAGTTTTAGGGTCTCATATATTTGGGAAATGATAAATGAATCAGGGTTATTCAAGAATTTTAGGGCTTTAATGTGCTAAAAGCACTGTGAATTTCCAAGAGAGGGAAAGAATATAAAGTATTTCTCAATTTATTATGGATATTTTCTTTCCAAAGAGTGTATTATAGTGCAACTAGTTAGTAGTGTAACAAAATTATAGTGTATAAGAGGGAATGATGATCTTGCTTTTGGCCAGACCTCAGCTGGGTTGTGTGATGAAAGTCAGACACCATGATTTCAGAGGGGGGCACCTGATGGAAAAGTAATCAAGATGAGGGCAAATTTCTCTGGGTTTGAAAACAAGCCATGTCAGAAGTGGCTAAAAGAACACAGGCTATTTGGTCTGGAGGAGAGAAGACCCAGGAAGGACAAGACAAATGATCTTAAAATATTTGAAAGTTTTTCATGTAGACCCAAAATTAGTGGACAGGGAAATAAATTTTAGATCATTATTAGAAAAAAGTTCCAGCCTTTAAAATTGTTCTAAAGGTTCCAAATTTCAAAATTGTTCCAAATTTCCAGTCATTAGCAGCTCCAAAATGGCTCCCTTCGGAAAGATGAGACTGGCCATTTTCAAGGATGTTGGAGCATCCACTGGGATGACCAATCTGGGAAATGCTACTGAGAGGAATCAGTATATAATGAGGAATTGGATCAGATGATCCCCATAGACCTTTTCAACACTGACATTCTATGATTAATTTGTGCCTTTTGTTGTCCTAGCATTTTTCACCTCAGCAAAATAATGATAGATTTCTTTCCCTATCTAATCTCCGATTTTTCCCCCCAATTTATGAGCTAGATTTTATCATTTGGGTGATTATCTGCATAATTATTATTTTTCAAATGTAAAAGAATTTTTTGCAAGGCAATACTCACGTCAAAAATTTTCTTGACCACTTCTGTCTGGATTTTATCAAAAAGATCAAAGTCCTTTTCTTCCACCATCTTATCTCGATAAACCCGATTTGATTCATGCAGATAGAGCTTTACTAGGTCCTGTGTGGATTTTACACATTCTACTGAGGAGAAGAGAATGCCCTTTAAAGAGAATAGAGAAAATATCATGTGAACAACAATTTAAAACTACAACAGCTATAATTTATTGAACCAGTTATGTGACAGGTACTGGGCTAGAAGCTTTGCCAGATAAAACTCATTTAACCACCATGATGATCTTACAAAATAATTTTTACTGTATCCATTTTGTACAATGTGGACATTGGGATTCAGAAAGACAGGAATTATGCCTAATGTCATATATATAGTATGCAGTCTTAGTACAAAACCGCAAGGTTTTGAAACTAGGTCTGCCTGACCTAAGAGCCTGAAATTTTGACCATTACATTCCAAATAACCATAGTGAGGAGAGAGGTAGCTTCTCTGCTATATTTCAATTCCCTAAGTGCCAACTTGAAAACCAGTCTAGGGGACAATCCATTTATTTATTTCTAGTAGGTTCTCCTTCCATACACCATAGGGATTATTCCAAATATTTACTATTCTTTTAAAATTTTTCTGTCACCTCACCTCTCTCTGTTACTATTAGTCAATGTCTTAGCCTTCTTTTTCATTGAAAAATGGAGACCACCAAGATTAGAGTCTCTCAATGACCTCAACAGGTCCTATAACTTCAAACTCCTCTAAACCTGTGTTTTCCCCACTGCTTTCTTTTTTATCATAGAGGGAAAGGGGCCATTTAATTATTCCTCGTCACCAATGGAATAATGCTCTGACTCATGAGCATGGCATAAAGTTCTGGTTGTAATAGGACTACCAGTCTAGTTCCTCATGATCACTCTTATCACCACTTCCCATAAAATCTAGATTTCAGTTCCACCAAATTAAAATTATTTTATGATGCTGCATATTTTCTGTGCCTTCATGCCTTTTGCTTTTCTTGCTATGCTCATATTTCAAGATCCAATTCAAGTGTTATCTCTTTCTTGAAGTCTTCCATGGCACCTCCCTTTCTGCCCAACAGCATACCCTCTGATGTGCCCCCACTTAACGCTTTATATATACATCTATTTGTTTCTAAAATCATTCTTCTTTGTACAGGTTTGTTTCTTCCAGGTCATGATGAGTGTCTCAAAGGCAGGGAAACTGACAGGCTTCATTTTGGGTGTAGTTTATTTTTATCATTGTATTATTGGCATCTAGCATGGTGCCTGACATAAACTAGATTCTCAATGAGTGCTCACTGAAAGAATGAATGGACTAATACTGAATCCTCCAATTACTATAACATAGCAAGAACCTCCATCAAGATTTCTGCTTTTGGTAGTGGCAGAATACCAGATTACAAACCAATCCACTGAAGTCAACTACAAAAGACAGGAAAATTATCTTTATTTTTTAAAAGATTTTATTTATCTATTTGACAGGGAGAGAGAGAGAGAGACCAAGCAGGGGGAGCAGCAGAGGGAGAGGGAGAAGCAGACTCGCCCAATGCAGGGCTCAATCCCAGGACCATGGGATCATGCCCTGAGCTGAAGGCAGATGCTTAACTGACAGCCATCCAGGCTCCCCAGGAAAATTATCTTTAAAGCTTCATCTTTCTAGAGGCATTACGGAGTTACCAAGGTAGCGAGGACTCAAAGGGCTAAATTACTAGAGAGAAGAAAAGGAAGAAAATGAACCCCAAATCTAGCACTATTTCTTTTTCCTTTGGACATTTGCCAATTCACAAGTAATGGCTTATAGGTTCAGAAACTGAAAAGACAGAGAGACAACTGACAGGTTAAGATGCTGAGCAAATTTTTTTTTTAAAGATTTTATTTATTTATTTTGACAGAGAGAGACAGAGAGACAGTGAGAGAGGAAACACAAGTGGGGGTGGGGGGTGGGGTGGGAAAGGGAGAAGCACATTCCCTGCTGAGCAGGTAGCCCAATGTGGGGCTCGATCCCAGGACCCTGGGATCATGACCTGAGCCGAAGGCAGATGCTTAATGACTGAGCCACCCAGGCGCCCTGATGCTGAGCAAACTTATCTCAAGGGGTAGGAAGGATGAAAATTGAAGTTCAGGGATTACCAAGAAGAGGGTCATGGTGAAAACCCCATGGGAATCCCTCAAATGGTTATACACTAGGAGTATGAATGAATCACAAATCATTTTGTCCTCACGGAATTTTGTCCTCACGGAAACTGGAGCCCAACTTCAATCTCCTCAATCCCCAGTAACTGCTTGGCAGAAGCAGAAGCAGAAATATGTAATCTCTGAAGGAAAACAGCATCATCTAAACCCTCAAATTATCTGCACATTTTAAAACTCGTAATGTCTGGAAATAAAACAGAAATTACTGGGAATACCAGAAGATACCACCAAATCAAGAAAAAACTGACCCATAGAAGATCTAGGTATTGGAATTATCAGATACAAATTTTAACAAAACTATCATTAATATGACTAAGACATTAGAGGACATCACATAAAGAATTTCATCAAAGAATTGGAGTCTTCAAAAATGAATCAAATGGAAATTCTCAAATTACAAACTACCCTAAATTACAGTTACTGAAATTAGGAACTTATCAATGGGGTTAACAGCAGAATAGACAGAGCTGAAAATAGAATTAGTTTACAGGAAGAGAGAGTAGCACAAAATATTCAGATTGAATCACAAACAGAAAAAAAGAAAGAGCATAAGGGACATATGAGACACAGTGAAAAGTTCTCATATACATGTATTAAAATACTAGAAGAAGAAGAGAGAGAAGCAGAAGCAACATTTGAAAAGATATTGACTGGGACTTCTCTAAAACTGGAAAAAAAAATACAACTGAAAAGATAAGACATCAAACCAGATTCAGAAGTGCTATAAACACTAAGCAGAATAAATAAAAAAATAGCACTTAGACATCTTGGGCTGTCTTGAAAATCAAAGACAAACAGAAAATCTTAAAAGCTGGCAAGTGAAAAAAATACATGTACTATCAAAGGGACAGTAAGAATTCAGAGATAATTTATCAACAGAAACAATGGAAGCCAGAGGACAGTAGAAGGATACCTTCAAAATGCTGAAATAGCTGCCAACCTAGAATTCTAATACCCCTCCCAAAATTCTTTTAAAAAGTAAGAAATACATTTTCAGTTAAATAAAAACTGAGAGATTATTTTCTAGCCAATAGAAACTACACTAAATACTAAAGGAGTTCTTCAGGCAGAATGAAAATGATTCCAAATGGAAGAATCAGAAATAGAACAGGAATATGAGCAATGGGAAGAGTAATATGCAAGTAAATCTAAATAAATGTTGACTTGGGGTGCCTGGGTGGCTCAGGCAGTTAAGTGTCTGCCTTCGGCTCAGGGCATAATCGCAGGGTCCTGGGATCGAGGCCCATATCAGACTCCATGCTCAGCATGGAGCCTGCTTCTCCCTCTCCCTCTGCTCCTCCCCCCTGCTCACTCTCCCTCCTGCTCACTCTCTCTCTCTCTAATAAATAAAATCTTAAAAAAAAATGTTGACTTACTAAGACAAAAATATTAGTGTATTATGGATTTTCAGTATACATTGAATTAAAAAATAGACTAAAATTGGAGGGATGTAAATTGTTCTAAGACCTTTGCATTATATGGCAATTGATAAAGTACTAATTTATAAAAGAAAAAGAGATGAAATGATGCATTTGGTAACCATTAGATGAACAGTAAACAGATGTAGGCTAAAAGAGGGAGAAAATAAAAGAATAAAAAGTAATTAGAATACAAAAAATGAGGGGCGCCTGGGTGGCTCAGTTGTTAAGCATCTGCCTTCAGCTCAGGTCATGATCCCAGGGTCCTGGGATCGAGCCCCGCATCGGGCTCCCTGCTCCGCGGGAAGCCTGCTTCTCCCTCTCTCGCTCCCCCTGCTTGTGTTCCGTCTCTCACTTTGTCTCTGTCAAATAAATAAATAAAATCTTAAAAAAAAAAAAGAATACAAAAAATGAGAGGAAAGGAAACACAGAATAGGTAGAACATACTGAAAACAAACAGTATAAAGTAGATTTAATCCTAATATATATTATATAAAATAACATCAAGTATAAATGAACTAAATATTTTAATTAAAAGACTATGATTATTAGACTAGTTTTAAGATATCCAACCAGATGTTGCCTATAGGAGATATACCTTAAACATAAGAAAAAAGAGGCTGAAATAAAAAATTGGAAAACAATATAGCATGAAGGAATTGGAAACAATATAGCACGAAGATACTGACTAAAATAACGTGGAATAGCCACACTACTCTACAAAACTGACTTTAAGGCAAGAGCCATTTTTAGAAATAAAGCGGTGTATTTAATAATAAGAAAAGGGTCAGTCCACTAGGAAGATATACTAATTCTAAATGTGTGTGCACCTAATAACATAGTTTCAAAATACATAATGCAAATATGACATAAACAAAAAGAGAAATGGACATGTCCACAATCGCACAATTGCACCTTTTTAAGAAACTGACAGAACAAGTCGTCAAAAAAATCAGTAAGGATATAAAATATTTCAATGACATGATTTACAAGCTTGACCTAATTGGCATACTGATTCAGCTACACTCAGCACCTGAAGAATGCACTATTTAAGAAGTGCACATTGGTCAAATCTTGGGACATAAAGCAGATCTCAACAAATTTCAAAGGAATAAAATAATTGAGTATATTTTCTGACAACAGTGGACTTAAGCTGAGCATCAGTAAGAGAAGGATAGTTAGAAAACCTCTCAATTTTAAAAAATAAAGCAATACTTCCAAATATCCCATGGGTTAAAGGAGAAACCATGGGGGAAATTAAGAAATACTATGAAGTGAATGATAATAAAAATACAACATATAAAAGTTTGCATGATACAGGGTATGGCATAATTAGTGATAAATTCATAGCCTTAAAATGAATGTTTTAGAAGAGCCAAAAGGCTGATGATTGATGACACAAGTAGCCATGTCATGGAAGTTAGAAAAAGGAGAACCTCAAACCTAAAAGTGTGAAGAAGGTGATTATAAAGAAAAGAGCAATTATTAATAATATAAAAGCAGTTATCAAATAGAGACAGCAAATAAAGCAAAAAAAGCCTATAATATTAGTATATTTTTCAGTTTCTTTGAAAAGATTAGCACAATTGATAACTCCTTAGTAAGGCTGATAAAAGAGAAAAAGAGAAAATCAGAAAAGACACAAATACTCAATATCCAGTATAAGAAAGAAGACATAATCTCAGATACAACAGGTATCTAAAATTAGAAATTGAGAACATTGATATCGTACCACAACTGACACATGAAGAAACAGAAAATCTGAATTGGCTAATGTGTACAAAGAAATTGAACTCATAACTTAAGATTTTCTACAAAAAACTCCAGATTGTTTCAGCAGTAAATTCTTCTGACATTTAGGAAGGCTCACTACAATGTTTTACAAAAGCTTCCAGAGAGTAAAAAAAGAGGGACCACCTCCCAGTGCATTTTATGAGGAAAGGAAAATTATAGGGCCATCTTATTAATAGAGTTGCAAAAAGTATATTAAAAAATAGCAAATGGAATCCAGCAAAATATAAAAGGCTCAACATGTAGCAATTAAGTTGGGTTGATTATAGGAATGCAAGGGTGATCTAAGACTCAAAACTAATCAATGTAATTTATCACATTTCTAGAAACAATGAGAAAAAAATCGATATGATTATTTCAAGAGCAACAGAAAAATCATTTGTTAAGTTTCAACATACGTTCATGGTTAAAACTCTTAGGAGACTATAAACAGGAAGAAATTTTCTTAATCTGTCAAAAAGCATCCCCCAAAACCTATAGTAAGCAACACACTTAATGGTCAACTATTACAAGCCCTTCCCTCTAAAATTAGGAATGCATCAAGAGGCCACTCATACAACTTCTCTTCAACATCAGTTGTAGCCAGCACAGTAAGACAAGAAAAAGAAATTATAAGATTAAAGGATTGGAAAGAAAGAAATTACTATCACTAGTATTTTTTACCAATAACATGATTGTATATGTATGTATAAACATAATATTAAACAAAGCTACAAAATAATATTTGTCATAGGATTCTATTTTGATAACGTCCAAAAATAGGCCAAAAGAGCTTAGGGTGTTAAAAGTCCAGACAGTATTTACCTCTGGGAGGGAAAGAAAAACCAAATGGAAGGGAGAAAAAAGGAAGAGCTTTAGGATTGTGGGAATGTTCTGTTTCTCGATCCGAAGATCTAAAATCTTTCTCGTGTTTACGTAGGTGTGATGACTTTGTGACAATTAACCAAGCTGTGAGCTTATGATTCATGTGCTTTCCTACATGTATGTTATACTCTGATAAAAGTTTATTTTTGCAAAAGAAAGAAATTCCATTAGGTCCCTTTGGCCCCACCCATACCCATATCTCCGCCTCCCTCCTCCTCGGCTCTCCTAGGTATCAGGCAGGAACCAGATGCAGACAGCAGGAAGAAGCACCGACCAGGAACCCCAACTTCTTGGACTTTCACAGGGAGGTGCACTATCACTTGGAGCTTATAACCCCGGGAAAGCCAAATGCTCAGGATGCCTGGCAGTTAAGGGCTGAGTCGATGTGAGCACACTAAGCACAGACTCTGTACCACTTTAGTTACGAGTCATACTGAGATAGGAGCGGTTAATGATTTTTGCTACTCAGAGGTCTATCAGATCATGTCCTGATCAGGACAGTGAGGGGAGTGCAGAGAAGGTCTGAATTACTGAGCCTTGGGTCAAGCTGGATGGAGGAAAGCAGCGTGTTTAGGCAACGCCTGTCTTCCGGCAGACATTTAACCACCCACTCATGCTTCAGACAAGGAGGCGGGGAGGCAGGCAGGGGAAGCTGTGGTCAAGCTCTGAGCCTGAAACTGCCCTCTGGAGGAGGAGGGGAGGGGGCTGTGTGGTTGCAGGGAGGCAGGCGCTCCAGGGAAGGATGCATTTTCCCCACCCACCCTTGTGGCAGGTGGCTGACAGGTGACTGGCTGCAGAGAGTCCAGGAGATTGCCACTCAGCCTGTCTGAGTTAGGCAAAGACACGGGCCTTCATGACCATTCATGCTGTCACCTAGCTGGTAACTTCCCCAAGCCTCTCTTAAATTGGGATAATAATGTGCAACCCAAAGGGTTGTCATGAGTATACATTTCAGGATGTGCGGGTGACAAGGCGTCTGTCCGGGCAGGAGCTGGATGCTTCTGGTAGAGGGGACTTAATGCCCTCCTCCTTTCAGCTCTGCCCTATGAGCAATGTGCATTTGTTCCAACGACATTAGCTGCATTGAGATTTCAGAGAGGGGGTGTGTGATAACAGAGATCTTTCTCCGTTAATACTCAAGATGAGAGATGAGAGTGGGCATGCACAAACTTTGCTATTGTCCTGGCCTCACGGTTACAATCTTCAGGCTTCACGGGCTTCGAGTGGAGTCTTTCTTGCTGCCTCATTTATGCTTCTGCTGTGTCAGAAGCACATATGAGAAGGACAGAATGGTGTGGTGGATGGAGGGCCTGGCCAGGAACCCAAAGACCCGGATTCTTGCCCCATTTCCTTCACCGGCTTGGCTGTGTGCTCTCAGGAAAATCTACAGACTCCCTGGGGGGGGGGGTCTCTGTTTCTCCTCATTTTTAGCAGAGTTAATGTTTAGGAGGTGCATGACCCAGGAGGGCTGTCCTGAGCCAGCTCAGGTGTGTTCTCAAAGACCCGCCCTCACGTGGGGCTCAGTGTCTCCACCATTAAGTTCAGCCATTCCGGAACACAGTTGTTAGGACTCTGAACTAATGTTTGGGGGATCTCTGCTCTTTACAACCAAAAGTCTTGGCTGGACCCTGCAGGCCCTGTGTCCTCACGGTCTGGACCTTTGCTAGTCTGAGGTTCCCCGGAATTCTACCCACACAGGCAGTGTGCCCTGGGTAATGAAATCCAAATACACGTGCTCACTATGGCAGGTCTGCCTCACTCCCTGATCATGCCGACTGACATTCCCCAACAGGTGTGGCCTCTGCTTGTTATAAAAGGCAGAGAAAGACATGTATCCTATGACCTCACTGATATGAGGAATTCTTAATCTCAGGAAACAAACTGAGGGTTGCTGGAGTGGTGGGGGGTGGGAGGGGTGGGGTGATAGACATTGGGGAGGGTATGTGCTATGGTGAGCGCTGTGAATTGTGCAAGACTGTAGAATCACAGCTCTGTACTTCTGAAACAAATAATGCAATATATGTTAAGAAAAAAAAAAAGAAGAAGATAGCAGGAGTGGAAGAATGAAGGGGAGGAAATCGGAGGGGGAGACGAACCAGGAGAGACGATGGACTCTGAAAAACAAACTGAGGGTTCTAGAGGGGAGGGGGTGGGGGGATGGGTTGGCCTGGTGATGGGTATTAAAGAGGGCACATTCTGCGTGGAGCACTGGGTGTTATGCACAAACAATGAATCATGGAACACTGCATCAAAAACTAATGATGTAATGTATGGGGGTTAACATAACAATAAAAAATTATTAAAAAAAAAAAAAAGGCATCCTTCCCTCTATCCTTGCCCAGGGCCCTCTGGGGGAGGAGTCTCTGAAGAGCAGTTTCTGCCCATTCCTGTCCAGGAGGGGAAAGGTGTGGACTCTACCCTGTGAGGATGGTGTGTCTGACCAAGAGGAAGAGGGGGCTGGGCTTTGCCACATTGCCCTCTGGACGTTGTGGCCATGAAGGGTCAAGCAACAGAGAGGAACAGGCAGAGACAGGCCATCACCATTCAGAGGAGCAGGTGGAAACATCTCAAATGGCTGTGGCCTGGAAAGGAACCTGGAATTTTAAAACAGAGGCTTCCCAGGGGCTGGCAGACGGTATCTCAAGAATATTACGACATGGCTTTCTTTAGGAAGCAGATCTATCCTGCATGACTCAGGGGACATTCTTTTTTATCCCAAGAACAATGGGTATATCACCAGGGCCTGCAAAATAGTTTTCTCTGCATTCCTTCCAAGGCATGCTGGAATCATCATATAACATTTTCTTCAAGATGCCGAGCCTTCTCCAACCCAAAGGAATCAACTCAGAAACGCATCCTGGGAAATGACGTGTTTGTCATTGGCAAACAGAAATCTATCTGGTTGACGTCCTTCCTCGTGGATCTCATGGCACCCTGTTTACCTGCTTATTATGCTCATGACTCCATATGAACTGTGCCTTTGCCTAAGAGTTTGGCATTAACTACTGTTTTACCAAGAGTGGAAGGGACCAGATCATCACTAAGCCTTCTGGGGCATCTCTGAATAGATGGACTCACCTGGAAAATGTTGGCAAAGTCTCTGAGGTTGAAAACATAGTGGAATTTGATCACTGTGGGCAGGAATGTGGTGGCAATTTTCTGGTGGAAGGTCAGGGCCAGATTGATGAGCTGGGGGCTGGATTTCTGCAGGGCCACTGGGAAGTGTCCAAACGTTAGGTGCTGAGTCAAGATGGTGCCGTAGATGGAGGCCAGGGCGTCTGCTCCCGGGAAGGAGAGGACGAACACGCTGAAATGACGCTGCCCAGGGGAACAGGCATGTGAGTTAGAGCATGAGTTAGAGTCAAAATCGCCTTCTGGGGATTTGGGTAAAATAATGAGGAATTCTTAGAAGGGCTTTGGATTCTATAATCTGGTCACATTTTTCACACTGAACCTAAACTTGGGTTCAATCTAAATGTCTGGAGGAGTAACAGGCTTTGGGCCTTTAGTTGAAGATGTCAGCAGGTAGTAGGAAGAGAACAGAACTTGAACTCAGAGCATCTGAGTCCCAACAAGTATTTGATACTGAAGATCCACATGACCTTAGGAGAGTCATTTCATCTCTCTGAAGTTTCCCTACTCTGAAGAATGAGTGAAATCAGATGGACTCCATGACCCCTTCCAGCTCAAAAACCTTCATGGCTCTGGGTCTAGGAGTATCTTTGTCCCCCTAGACATGCAAATCAGCATCCTGGATGATTTGTCACTTTCAGAGGCTGGACAGGGGGAGGGCCAATGATTACTTGTCACTGAGTGATATCCATCCCGGTAAGACAGAATTTATTCAGGATTCAGGACCTCAGCTCCTCCCATACCTGAAGCCGTGGGTTGATGGTGAAGCTGCCTGCGGTGGGGTTCATACAGGAAACATACTGGACATTCTTGATCTCCTTCAGGGACAGCTTGCTCTGATCATACCTGGAACAGGCAGAAACCACAGTGACAGATGGGTGAGGGTCCAGGCAGGTAAGTGCCTTGTCAAGTTGAGGTGGGATGTGTCCTATCATTCATGTGTGTGGGTGGTTAAAAAAAGAGTCCAGAGGAGCGCCTAGGTGGCTCAGTCGGTTAAACGGCTGCCTTCAGCTCAGGTCATGATCCCAAGGTCCTGGGATTGAGCCCCGCATCCAGTTCCCTGGTCAGTGGGAAGCCTGCTTCTCCCTCTCCCACTCCCCCTGCTTGTGTTCTTTCTCTAGTTCTCTCTCTCTCTGTCAGTTAAACAAATAAATAAAATCTTTATTTAAAAAAAAAGTCCAGTTCCATTGGTAGAGATTGAAAAAGAACAAGAGCTTAGGCCCAAATCCTGAGGGGTCCAACATCTACGGGAGTAGTGTAGGAGAAAGAAACCATAAAGATGGACTAAGGGGTAGGGTAGAAATCCAGGGTGTATGGCACCCCAGAAGGCAAAGGAAACCAGTATTTCCAAAAGGAGAGAGCAGTCAACCGTGTCCAGTGCTGTAGAGAGAAGAAGAAAGACAGTGACCCAACCCAATGGGTCTGTTAGATCTTACATAAAGATAGAGTTGGGGGTGAGCAAGAACAATGGTTCAGTAAAGTAGAAGAAACAGAAACCGGGTAGTGGGGTGAGCAGTGATGGGGAAGGTGGCAAAGTGGAAACAGAGCAGAGAAATTTGGCTTTGTAGGGAGAGAGAACAGGCCAATAATTAGAAAATGATGTTTCTGAACACAATAGAGGAAATCTAGGTGAGTCTCAATATTGAAGAGAAGGAACTATTCAGGACTTGAGGGGCAGTTAACGCAGGAGGTGGGAGAGAGCAGAAGCAAGAAGCTGGTGATGGTTCAGCTTCAGGGAAGGTGTGTCAGGACCAGGGAGAAAGGGACGCAGGGGGAAGCAAGTAAGTTGTACAGATGTGGAAGCAAGAAACAAAGATGGCGCCCGTGGTCACCAGTGGAGGTGGGGTGGGAAGCTTGCGGACAGACAGAAGGTATGAAATAGCCATTGCTGAGAGTGGAAATGCAAAATGTCAAGGCAACAGGGCAGGATTTCCAGAGAGCTTCTACTGCCCACCTAAGTCCATCAGACCATGAGTCTGACGTAACACTTGTGTGCAGGGCTGAAGGGTTCCAGAACAGTCCAGGTGCTGGTGCGCACACTGCAGATGGCGGTATATGGCAGGCATCCCACAAAGACGTGAGGAATGACTGAAAGGCAACTCAGGTCACCATCACAACCATCATTCTCTCTGAGCTCCCTCTTCACACTGACCACTTTCTCAGCAACTCATTCAATGTGGGGCAGGAAGGTGAGCCAAAGTGGTCTCCAATCACGGATTTTTTTTTTTCTGACAAGTTCAGACTTTTTGCCATGAACAATTATGCTGTTTCAAGAGACAGTGTCAGACCCTTTGAGTTGTTCTGAAAGAGACAAAGGCTGTTAAGGCCTGCAGACGTCTGCACACTCCATAGCGTGTGAGCTGTTCTCACTCCAGTACCCGCTCGGTGCTACGGGACCACAGTGAGGGACAAGAGTGTAATTCTGCTCTGGGGGTTTGGAGAAGGTAACTTTTGAGATGAATACTGAAGAAAAAAGTAGGGTTTTTTTTTTTTCCCCTTAGATGAGACTTCCCACGTAGGCATTAATGCCCCTGTCTGAAGAACTCCCCAGGAAACGGACTCCCGTGAGGAATGTGTTTTGCCGTGGGGATTCTCATCTGGCACCAGCACTCAACTGTGGTTTGTGGCTCCAGTGGAACAGCCTTCAGCCCGCCCCCTGCCCCATCCTGTGGGCCCCAGGCCCTTTGCATGTGTGCTCTTACCAGTGGCCATAGTCCAGATGCTGCCGGATGATGGTGTGGGGCTGCACAGTCCCGTAGGCGTCCACCTGGGGCATGTTCATGTCATCGATGAAATAGATAAGCTTCTTGTTGCCTGGGGGGCCATAATTTCTGCCAGCCTTCTTTTCTAGAGGCTTTTCCAGGACAGCTGAGGAGATGAGCCAGTTAGTGAGGGAGGGAGGTTCAAACCTCAGATGCCAGCACTGAGAAAGAACAGGTATCAAGGACAAACAATGGTGCGGCATGCACCTGCCTGCAAACAGCAGCAGTTACTACCAGATCCAGGACATTCTACAGGACCAGCGGTGATGCTGGGAATCAGCTGGTAGTGAGGGTGACTGTATCAACCAGGCGTTCAACACCTTACAACGTGCCCTGTGTCAGGTCCTTACAAATGCATACGACCTCATTGAATCTGTGCAACATCAGGGCACGATTAGTATTATCATCCCATTTTACAGATGAGGACACTGAGGCTCAGAAGAACAAAGGCACTTTTTTAGGGTGAAGCCAGGATACAGATCTGGAGCAGTTAAATTTCAGAGCCCAGGCTCCATCTATCATACTTGTGGTCCCCAGTTTTCTTGGCTTATAGAGTAGAAACAGAAGATACCTTCATGGTCTCGAGACCTGGGACTCTACCCTCAAGGAAATCTACAAATAACTGGATCCTGGGTAGACCTGCTTCCTCTAGGTCAAACAGTACAGGAGCATGGAGGCTGTGGCTCCCACATCGGGGTGGGTGGGGGCCCCTTCCACACCTGGGGGATAAGACAAGAGCTACTGGATAGTTTGTCAGCAGAGGTCTCAGAGAGTTCACCTCCTGGGGTTTTCCCCGAGGGGGAATAAGAACAACAGCCCTCAGAGAATTTCCCAGAAGCTTCTAGCACCATGAAGGGCTCTTCCGCTGCCTTCAGGTTATCATCAGGCTCCTTGCAGAGCAACTCCGCGCCTTTCTGGAGACTTAGCTACAGACTCTCTTCTGGAATCATCCCTTCACGCAACACCGCTGCCCAGCCTGATGGGACTTGTTGAGAACAACCTTAAGTAATGGAATGGAGATCTATGGACTTGTTTTTTTCAATAAAGCAATTAAATATGTATTGCGAGAACTGACACTTCTTATTACAGCTGGAAGCTCTAAGAACCATCTGATTCCTTCTCTTGAAAAACAAGTTTGTAAACAAGGAGAAAGTGTCAATAGACATTTGGAGGTGACAGATAGGAAGACAAGTTCCTTCAAGAAGCCTGAATATTCTAATTTTCTGGTCCTGAGTTAAATTAAGTGTTTCAAATATGAATTAGATTTAAATTTAATTAGCATCCAATTAACATACCCTATCAACCAATTAATCACCCAACACCTTTTTCCCCCCTAAAGATATAACAAGTATATACGAGATCTGTCAAGATGAAATATAATTAATGGGCTGCCAAGGACATGTTTTTGAGAACAGTCCTTCTAGTAGGAAATTCTCCTCTTGGGAGGACTTGTTTCTCCTCTCCCCAGAGCAGTGATATTCGAAACAACCCCTGGAATGAGGCAGACCCCTCTAATTTGGGTTGATTAAGCTCTTTATGCTTCTAAAGGGTTGTTGAGGAGAAAAGCATGTCAGTTAGCAAGAAGTGGGCTTGGAAGGCACTGGGTCATCCCAAAAGGATGATGTTGAATCCTCCAGGGAGGGAGGACTCCCTCAGGAAAGGCATATACATTTTTGATCCCTCCGTGACCAAGCTCTGCTCCAAGTCACATCTCGGATAGCATGGGAGTTAAGTGATTGTTTCCATGCAGAATTGGAGAAACAGAGGTGGATCTCAGTGTTAGCAAACAGGTTGGTGGTGAAGGCGCTCAACATGCGAGAAGTATAAAGAACTGTGATCCTCCCCGCATACTTCTGGGTTCTGCCTTGTCGTAAACAAGTCCTGACAGTCAAGCCCATACCTGGGCCTGGAGTTCATCTGCTCCATCTTTTTTTTTTTGAGATTGATTGATTGACTGATTGACTGATTTAGAGAGCGTGAGCGAGCGAGCAAGCACAAGTTGGGGTTGGGGGAGAGACAGGGAAGGAGAGACAGAATCTCAAGCAGACTCCCCACTGAGCACAGAGCCTGATGCAGGGCTTGATCTCACAACCCTGAGATCAAGGGCTGGACGCTTAACTGACTGAGCCACCCGGGCACCCCCATCTGCTGCATCTTACCCAGCTTCTCCACATGGACCAACCTCCCGTTCAGCTGGTAGCCATGTCCTACGTTAGCTGCACTCTGCTTTTATTCACATGGTCCCTTCTGCAATATTTCAACACCATCGTGCATTTGAGGAGCAATTTCAGTTTCAAAGTGGGTTCCCATCTGTTCTCATTTCACTGTCTCCACGGTGACCACCCTTTGCCCATCAGCTCTCACCTGCTAGCTACGACATTCTCCCAACTGGCCTCCCGCTCAAAACAGCAGACAGGAGTCCCCTTGCAAGATGTGAATCAGATCATGCCAGTCTCCTGCTTAAAACTCACCTGGGGCATCCCATCTTGCCTGGGGCAAAAGCCAGTCTGGGTACGTTCACAAACCTTGTGTCTCTGTTTTTCTCTCTGATGCTCCCCTGTCCACTCTCTCTGCTCCAGCCATCCTGCTCTGCTATTCTCACTGCCACAGGGCCTTTGCTCTGGCTGATGCCCCTGCCTGCAATCCCTTCTCCCAAAGGCCAGCCCAGCTTGTGTCCTCATTTCCATTAGGCATTTATCTGCTCAAATGCCATTTCTCAGTGAGCCCTGCCCTGCACAAGGGCCAAAGTTAACCCCTCACCCCCAACTCCCTGTGCCTGCTTCATTGTTCTTAAAATTTCACTTAAAATGCTCTATATTCTACATATTTATCTTATGCATTATATTACCCCCTCCACACTATAAACTCCGCAAGAACAAGAATCATTCTCTTTCTCACTGTCCTAACCCCAGCACCTAGAACATTATCTAGCACACAGTAGAGTGTTCAAAAGACATTGAAGAAATGAATGAATTTTACGACAAACCCCATGAATGGCAAAGAAAGATACATCATCACCATTTTGTAACTAAGAAAACAGAGCAGAAGACATGAACAGACCCTTCTCCAAAGAGGACATACCAATGGCTAACAGACACATGAAAAAATGTTCATCATCATTAGCCATCAGGGAAATTCAAATCAAAACCACATGGAGATACCACGTTATACCAGTTAGAATGGCAAAAATTGACAAGGCAAGAAACAACAAATGTTGGAGAGATTGTGGAGAAAGGGGAACCCTCTTACACTGTTGGTGGGAATGCAAGTTGGTACAGCCACTTCGGAAAACAGTGTGGAGGTGCCTCAGAAAATTAAAAATAGAGCTACCCTATGACTCAGCAATTGCACTCCTGGGTATTTACCCGAAAGACACAGATGTAGTGAAAAGAAGGGCCATATGCACCCCAATGTTCATAGCAGCAATGTCCGCAATAGCTGAACTGTGGAAGGAGCCGAGATGCCCTTCAACAGATGAATGGGTAAAGAAGAGGTGGTCTGTATATACAATGGAAGATTACTCAGCCATCAGAAAGGATGAATACCCAACTTTTACATCAACACGGATGGGACTGGAGGAGATTATGCTAAGTGAAATAAGTCAAGCAGAGAAAGTCAATTATATGGTTTCACTTATTTGTGGAACATAAGGAATAGCATGGAAGACATTAGGAGAAGGAGGGGAAAAATGAAGGGGGGGAAATTGGAGGGAGACACAAACCATGAGAGACTATGGACTCTGAGAAACAAACTGAGGGCGTTAGAGGGGAGGGGGTGGGGGGATGGGTTAGCCTGGTGATGGGTATTAAGGAGGGCACGTACTGCACGGAGCATTGGGTGTTATACAAAACCAATGAAATGTGGAACACTACATCAAAAACTAACGATGTAATGTATGGTGACTAACATAACGTAATAAAATAAAATTAAAAAAAAAAGACTAAGCAAAAAACAAAACAAAACAGGAAACAAGGGCTAAGGCAGGTTGCATGCCCTGCTGGAACTGGGATCCAGGTCTGTAGATACTGATTCTAGTGCCTCTTTCATACATCACTCAGGTAGAGAGCCCTTGGAAGCCCTCACACCCCAGTCCCTGTCTAGGGCTGCCCCGGCCACTCCTGCCCCATAGATTCCTCCAGGCTCTGAACTCAGAGCTGGGTGTCCATTCACCTGTGATGTGCATCACTAAAGACGCGGCTCTGTATGGGGTCCCTGGCAGGCATGTTATCACTGACTCCTCAGAGCAGCCCTACCACATATTAAAAATCTTTGAACAAACAAGAAAACTGAGGCTTAGAGAAAATCAGGGGCTCTATCCCAGGTCCCAGCTGCTAAGTGGCCAAGCCAGGACTCTAACCCAGGTCACCTGGCGTAGTCGGTACCGTGAACCATTTGAATACTCTCAAGACATGGCTTCTGCCTTTGACAATGCCCCAGTTTGGTGAACTCACTGCCTGACCACATTTTTGACAGAGATCATTAGCAGTTAATGATGTCTGACTTCATACCGATTTTCCTTTTCTTGAAACTCTTTTCTTTCCACATCATCTAATTTTTTCATGTGTTAAGACATTTCCATTATTATTGGAAGGGCTTTGCAGTTTATTCTTTCCAAATGTAACATGCTCTGCATGATTGTAAAAAGAATACATATTCATGATATAAAGATTAAAAAACACAGAAAATCATAATGATGAAAGTGACAATTATCTGGGATTTGATCACCTCTCAGGAGCCATGAGTTTCAATATTTTGGTGCATTTTATCCCAGTCTATTCACTCTGTTCAATTTTTCCTCTACAAAATCAGAATTATACCACATAGTCTGCCTGTGCGTGTGCACGCACGTGCAAACACACACACATATGCAATCCACGTATTGTAAACATTATATAACATATTCTCCTAAAACATGATTTTAATTGCTGCACTGTGTTCCATAATTTGGAGGTACCAAAATTTATGGGATGGTTTCTCTGTTGTCTGAAACATATGTTGTATTCCATTTTTTTATACTCTGAAACTACCTTGGCTCATCCTGAGCAGAGTGTCCTACCCATGAAGTGACATATCTTTCATGATTTCATTTTGTGTCATCTCCTTTTT